CCTGTAGAGGAGGGGAGACGGGAAAGAGAATTTGCCTGAACGTGAGTGGAATACCCGTATGTACGTATAGTTCTGCTCTGAAGAATCCGATCCAGTGGGCCAGGTTTGAGTCCTGCACCAGTGAACATTCTCGAGTGATCGCTTGTCTGGGTCTGCACCGGCCTGGCTGGCCATTGACTCACGTAAGTAATAATTATTCTTAGTAACTTGACGGAGTAAGAAGTCACTATTGTATAAAGTATCTCAATCTCAGGCTCCTCTGGTTTTCCGAGCTTTGTGTGTGATTTCTCCGGCATTATAATTACGTGTGCACTGTGTCGGTGAGTACCTTTAGGGTCCCTAAAATCCCTTTCGAGGAACACCACAGCGAAGCACGTCACAGGATCCTCGACAAACCATGGGGTATGCACATGGCTACTGATCACCAGCAGCACGGAACCTTCAAGAGTATACATGTACATGTACATGTGATGAGGCTGTATTTTCCTATACTGACTTGGAAGAAAGTCAAAATTATATTTAGCACGACAAATCAAAGCATGTGTTCGATCTCTAAAATGGAGTCCAACTACGAGCAATCAATACAGCCCTAAGAACTGAGATACGCGGGGGTATTGGACTGCTTAGGTATGGCGATAATCAATGGGACTCAATACTAAGAAGTGAAAATCGTATTTCATTGAGCATTACCATGCTCACTGTCGTACTCACGCCACTTGTACTTGAGAAGCACGCCATTTTACACGTAATCCAGGACCAAGCCAACTACACCTACAGTCATGTACGTTGCTACTTATCCAACTATTAACCTTAAAAGGCAATAATTTTAGTACACAGTCTAAACATCCATACAGGAACATCCAGGCTCTCCACTGTGAACGATCTCGTCCCAAGTTGAAGAGGGTGAGAAGACATTAATCAAGAACCTACTGTATCCAGCTGCTCTTCTCCAGCGGTCTGCAGATGCATTCTACATGTACACCTACATGTACAGTGTAGTTCTTGAAGTGCATGGCTTGAACCAGGCTACAGCATTGGCATTGCCGTGCCCATGCAGAGTCCAAGTCTAGTCCGCGATCGATGTACTTCAGTACTACTACTACAACTAGTACTAGTATCGCCCCTGTACCCAGTCCTCGTTCAGTTCAGTTCTTGTTGTTGTGTTAGAAAATTGAGGTCTTCAGTTCCATCGTTCTGCAATACGAGAATCCTTGTATTACGCTCTGTACAGTACGGTGAGTACAGTTATGCTCTGTTAGTTCAAGTCAGGATCTTTCTTTGAGTCAGAAAGAGAACAATCAATATACGTTGCCTGCTCCGGGGTGAAATCCTAGGTCGCGGCGATCCTCTTGCATTGAATATTCCACTGTCTAAATCTCTTTTCGCCTTGTTGTTCGCGTCGTTTTCTGTAGGTATCGACGTGTTTCACTATGCTGCCAATAACCAAACCAATATGGCAAAGGGTGGAGTTGTATATGCTGTTGTTTGCCTGGGTGACGTGTATTGCTGCAGACTGGTGTCTACTTCATCAGTGGTATTTCCTGTGGTTCAATGTTGACTGGGTGATTAACCAAACTCGAATTTACCAGTTCCACTTAATCCTATGCCTATGGCTAACAGTTCCACTTCAAATAGGTTTAACCGTGTTAACCGTATCCGTATATAGGAATTTGAAAGCCAATGTTTCAACGACGAAATCGACGGAAAGCAAGTAGCCTGCCAAATCCTTGGTATTGTGCGTCTAACAACTTGGAACGTCAAGCAAGAAGACTGGCTACCGAAAGAAACATCCCTTCAAGGGCTTTACCACCCGCGAGAAGGTCTGATAAGTTGCCCAGTTTCAGCCGTTGGTGATGCACCAAAGACTGACAGAGGAGGGTTTGTTGTAGAGATGTACAACACGTCTTGCCGTGTACAGAATGGAACTTTGAAACTGCCTTCATTCTAAATAATTATGTTCAGCAACAAAAAGGTGCAACAATTCTCATCATTTCTTTTGGAAACATTTCAATCATGCCTTCTACTAGCACACGACTGTACTCAAATAAAGGCATTTTCAATAACGGTCCTTCTTGTGAGTTGGATGAGGTACAGGTTGGACAGAATGCATGCAAGGTTAACACTGGTTCTCTAGTGCAACTCAAAGTCTAATCCTATATGATCGGGTGTAATGACTAGTTTTACACCCCGAAAAATCAGTAAAAGAAAGCTGAAAAAGTAGATGCAAGGGATGTTTTCGCAGAGGAAGTACAGTACGTCCGACCCCGTACTAGACTGCTGGCTTCATACTTGGTATACAATCATGTAGTTGCCTGATAAGTACTGGTCCAGAAACTCTCGGAGAAGAAAGGGTTGTAATAGGAACCATTCTGGTAAATCGAAGTGAACTACCATCTAAATTCATTGTTTTTCAAGGCTGCATTGTAGAATGCAAATGAGGTAGACGTAGAAGGTAGAGGCAGTGTTAATAATCAATGGTATATCGAATGGAGGCCACTGCGAGCAAGATCCTTTTCATGATTAGAGTAAGAAGCCCTCATCGTGTACTTCTAGGAAAAGACGAGATATGTCCTTGACCGTTTCGATCGAATGTGGTGCATCTACTTCGTTCGAACTTGACTTGTAATTACCGGTACAAATACTTCCTTTCGACTGTTTTCTCATTTTCGCAAGTGAAGCTTTATCGAGCCACACTTTTTATTCTATCGCCATCATAATATTGGGCATCAATGCCCGTTTGGTTTGCGATGTAAAATAAAACTTCAAACAAACAAACTCAACAAAAACTATTCCAAAATATGTCCCCTGCAAGCCAGTTACACAATTGAATAGATGTGACAGGCATCAATAACGTCACAATATTCAAGAACTTTACTAGCACATGGATGTCCAAGGAGAAAGTTCTTACCCGCACTTGTCAATAAGCTCGTAGATCATGGCACTTGGTTGCCAAGTGACAGCCAATGAAAAGAAAAGGGTACACCTCTTTGAAAGAGGCTAAAACACAGTCATAACAAGCCCAATCTTGCACCCAGGCCTAGCAGCATATGCGACTGCCTGGTGAAAAAGTATGCATTCCATGGTTGTACTTGTTACTGTGTGTTATTCATCGTGACGGTCGAGGAAGAACGTTAAACCAAAGCACACATTCCCAAAAGCAGTTCCTCATATGCCAAGTGACGTTTACACATTGCTTGTTATTGTAATTCTGTGATTATAAGAAATTCCTATGCGAGTAATTTAAGTTTTGCCAGTATTTGAGATCAATCTTCGCAATTGCCGATACGCGTACACAGTTCTTTGGTTGCCTATAGCTAAAAAATGTTTTTCTGGGCAAAGCGTAATGTGTTGTCTACATCATAGATGCCACTAGTGATAGCCTACACTGACAACAGAACTATAATATTGGTCATGGACATGGAAATGTATGCAGGTGTCAAATGACACCCTTTGGCTGTCCTAGGAGTACTGAACGTGGTGGCCGTCCTAGGGTTAAACCAGGCCCGAACGTACCTTGCCAGAGTGCTCAAACTGACAAGTCAATGAGCTCTGCATAACGCAAACAGCAAACGCACTACCCCACGCAAGAGTGCTCAACTGCTACAAGAGCAGGAGCAAAATACTCAATCTGCGGACAGAACTGTTTCGTCCTTTGTGGACTCGTCAACGCAGCACAGAGGAAATGACGCCGAACCCTTTAGCAATGATAAGTAAATTTTCCAAAAGCCAGATTTATACCCGGTCCGAACGTACCTTGCCAGAGTACTCAAACTGACAGGTCAGTGAGCTCTGCATACCGTAAACAGCAAAGGCACTACCCCACGCAAGTACATGACTGTACAGCTGTACATGTACTTGGTATTATTGACTTCTAAGAGTAAGAGGTTTCTTAGGACCTTGAAGAAGAGAATGTGAACGGCCTCAGTTACATTTACCGGTATCCTTTGTTCGAGGTCCGAGTTGTACAGCCTAACATACACATACAAGTAATTCGTTTCTGGTATTGGAATCGATTGTCTTCACTGCGTTTGGGCACAATGACATCCATATTTTCGTTTGTACGTCATTTGACGTTCGCTTGTGTCCACTTGTTCGAGTGTTATCAAGTACTAAGTCTTGTAAACACTTACTAGTACTACTCGTTAACTCAAATCAATGATCCTTTACGTGGCATGGATTCAGTGTTGTTTTGTGGCCCAAGCTCACGGTGTCCGGGACTAACCGACATAAATAACAGGCGCACATATTCCACTCGACTTGCGAACGAAACGGGAGAACGTCAAACGGGCGCATTGTGATTCAATTATACAATGTACTGGCAGACACGGTTTCGTCGTGGTTTGAACTGAGAGCATGCTTATTATTTTTGTGGAGCGGTGCTGCCCTGTAGAGGAGGGGAGACGGGAAAGAGAATTTGCCGGAACGTGAGTGGAATACCCGTATGTACGTATAGTTCTGCTCTGAAGAATCCGATCCAGTGGGCCAGGTTTCCGGCCTGCACCAGTGAACATTCTCGAGTGGTCGCTTTTCTGGGCCTGCACTGGGCTGGCTGGCCATTGACTCGCGTAAGTAATTAGTTACTTGACGGAGTAAGAAGTCACTATTGTGAAAAGTATCTCAATGTCAGGCTCTTTAGGTTTTCCAAGCTTTGTGTGTGATTCCTCCGGCATTATAATTACGTGTGCACTGTGTCGGTGAGTACCTTTAGGGTCTCAAAAATCCCTTTCGAGGAACACCACAGCGAAGCACGTCACAGCATCCTCGCCAAACCATGGGGTATCCACATGGCTACTGATCACCAGCAGCACGGAACCTTCAAGAGTATACATGTACATATACATGTACATGTACATGAGATGAGGCTGTTTTTTCCTATACTGACTTGGAAGAAAGTCAAATTTATCTTTAGGACGACAAATCAAAGCATGTGTTCGATCTCCAAAATGGAGTCCAAATACGAGCAATCAATACAGCCCTAAGAAATGAGATACGCGGGCGTATTGGACTGCTTAGGTATGGCGATAATCAATGGGACTCAATACTAAGAAGTGAAAATCGTATTTCATTGAGCATTACCATGCTCACTGTCGTACTCACGCCACTTGTACTTGAGAAGCACGCCAGTTTACACGTCATTCAGGACCAAGCCAACTACACGTTCAGTCATGTACGATGCTACTTATCTAACTATTTACCTTAAAAGGCAATAATTTTAGTACACAGTGTAAACATCCATACAGGAACATCCAGGCTCTCCACTGTGAACGATCTCGAACCCAGTTTGAAGTGAGTGAGAAGACATGAATCAAAAACCTACTGTATCCAGCTGGTCTTCTCCAGCGGTCTGCAGATGCATTCTACATGTACACGTAGTTCTTGAAGTGAATGGCTTGAACCAGGCTACAGCATTGTCGAATGTCGTGCCCAGGGTCCAAGTCTAGTCCGCGGTCGAGGTACTACCGGTAGTACTTCAGTACTACTACTACTAGTAGTATCGCCCCTGTACCCAGTCCTCGTTCAGTTCTGTTCTGGCTGTGTTAGAAAATATTTCAGGTCTTCAGTTTCTTCGTTCTGCAATACCAGAATCCTCGTATTACGCTCTGTACCGTACGGTGAGTACAGTCATTCTCTGTTAGTCAAGGCAGAATCTTTTTAGAGTCAGAAAAAAGATCAATCAATAGACATTGTCTACTCCTGGGCGAAATCCTCAGTCGCGGCGATCCTCTCGCACTGATTATTCTACTGTCTACATCTCTTTTCGCTTCACTGTTCGTGTCGTTTTCTGTAGGTATCGACGTGTTTCACTATGCTGCGAATATACCGACCAGGAAGGCAAAGCGTGGAGTTGTATTGGCGGTCGCTTGCCTGGATGTCCTTTATTGCTGCAGACTTGGTTCTACTTCTTCAGTGGTATTTCCTGTGGTTCAATGTCGACTGGACGATTAACGAATCTCGAATTCGCAAGTTCCAATTTGCAACGTGGACAGTAGTTTCTGTTCAAATAATTTTATTATTGCTGCAAATGCTCCGATCCATAATCGAGTCTTTACTAGATGAAGTGATAACCGTTTCCGTATACAGGAAGTTCAAAGCCAATGTTTCAACGACGAAATCGACGGAAGGCAAGAGGCCTGCCGAATCCTTCGTGTTGCGCGTCTAACAACTTGGAACGTCAAGCAAGAAGACTGGCTACCGAAAGAAACATCCCTTCAAGGGCTTTACCACCCGCGAGAAGGTCTGATAAGTTGCCCAGTTTCAGCCGTTGGTGATGCACCAAAGACCGACAGAGGAGGGTTTGTTGTAGAGATGTACAATACGTCTTGCCGTGTACAGAATGGAACGTTGAAACTGCCTTCATTCTAAATAATTATGTTCAGCCACAAAAAGGTGCAACAATTCTCATCATTTCTTTTGGAAACATTTCAATCATGCCATCTACTACTACACGACTGTACACAAAATAATAAACCGGGTATTTTCAATACCAGTCCTTCTTGTGCAAAGATGTTTTTGCCGTGTGAGTAGGATGAGGTACAGGTTGGCCAGAATGCATGCAAGGTTAACACTGGTTCTCTAGTGCAATTCATAGTCTAATCCTATCTGATCGGGTGTAATGACTAGTTTTACACCCCGAAAAATCAGTAAAAGAAAGCTGAGAAAGTAGATGCAAGGGATGTTTTCGCAGAGGAAGTACAGTACCTCCGACCCCGTACTAGACTGCTGTCTTCATACTTGGTATACAATCATGTACTGGCGCAGTTCGAAGTAGTGGTTGCGACCTCGGCGATGATTTGTAAGAAAGGGTTTGCTCCCCACACCGGAGCTCGCGCTATTCCGCCGACTTTACTTGACACTTGACTGACTCACGACTGGTGAGTGAGTGGTGCTTTCTTGCAGGTTTGCCGAGTCGAAGGTTCGATGGACTTCTCGTGTGCTCTGGATGGCAGTCGTGAGTCAGTCAAGTGTCAAGTAAAGTCGGCGGAATAGCGCGAGCTCCGGTGTTGGGAGCAAACCCTTTCTTACTGGCGCAGTTGCCTGATAAGCAGAGTAATAATGTGAAACGCAGAGTAGAAATACAGCTTCCAATCTCTCTTGTAATTGCATACAAGGGCATGCACTTTGGATATGTCTTCTAGGAGGTGTCTAGAGTAGGCAGAGGCGGATTCTGCTCGTAAATTGGCAGATTATGCTCGAAAAGCAGTGAAATTGGCTTAACCATACAAACTTAATGGCGGGCAATTCCTCGAATTCTGCTCCATTTCTTTATCCATATACCAAATATGCATGATACTTACCAGAAAAAGTACCGAATTCTGCCAATTTTCTGCGGGAATAATTATTATTTAAACACACGGCGAGGAGACAACAATTTGATAACCGCAATCAATAAAACTAGCTGAACCGACATTTGTGTACTTTATTCATGCAATGTAAAAAACGGGGGAGACGATGTGCAATAAAACGATGAAAATATGAAGAAATGGTGTAGGGAAAAAATATGGATTCAAACAAGTTTTCGTACAACACTCATCAGGAAACACTCATCAGGAATTGATGAGTGTTGTACGAAAACTTGTTTGAATCCATATTTTTTCCCTACACCATTTCTTCATATTTTCATCGTTTTATTGCACATCGTCTCCACCGTTTTTTACATTGCATGAATAAAGTACACAAATGTCGGTTCAGCTAGTTTTATTGATTGCGGTTATAATTATTATTATTATTTATGTTGAGTTCGAAACAGGACGACTGACAACGTATCCAGACATTACAACGGGAACAAGTTAGTGGGAACGACATTTATTATACTAGTAGACGACGAGACAAGAGACCAAGACGAACGAAACGACTACATTGAAGAGTGAGAAAAGAGAGAAAGAGATCAAGTCTAAACGGCAAGATAAAGGGCCTGGGTAGCCATGGCAAATATGGGCGCGCAAGTAGCTACCCAGGCCAACGGAGCAAAAGGAGACAAAAGGTGCGTACGCAAGTGCATGCAGGCCAGCTAGAAAAGGTACGGGAGGAGGTACCTAACATTTATTTATTACAACATCTCAAGACTCGGCGGAAACACCGGCCAATGTTACGAGAGTGGGTGATTGCCAACCACGGCGATAAATAGAAATAAGGGGAGGGAAAAAGAAACAGTAGCAAAACGAACAGCAACAACAACTCCGTAAAGAAAGATAATGTCAAATAAAAACAGTGAAAAACACAGACACGCAAAGGACATGCAATCCGCCGGTGCCTCGTCTAGAGATCTTGGTGAGGAGAATTTAAATGTGGTATGGTACACTTATCCTTAGTGGTGGAGTCCCCAGTTATGCAGGCCAACACATAATAATGTACTGTAATTAAAAAGAAAGGTTTGCTCCCCACACCGGAGCTCGCGCTATTCCGCCGACTTTACTTGACACTTGACAATTTTGCCATTGGTGTCGATTGTCGATTATCTTTACAGTATCTTTCTCTTAGCATTTACAAACACACACTCACATTTACCCACGCCCGTGCACCATACACTTCACCCTCTCATAGTCTCTCATCATCATTATTTCTCACCTCCTCGTCATTTTGTTTCTCTTCGCCCATCCCTGCAATTAGTTCCCACTTTTTTAGTCTTTCCCACTTCACCGTCCTTCTTTCACATAGTGCATTTCGCACACTTCCACGTGCACATACATTGTATATATTTATAATATTATTGTCACTCAATCTGCGGACAGAACTGTTTCATTATTGTTGTTTATTGCTAAGTTTTGTTTTTGAGACGTATTTCCCTGATGAATGTCTCTAGAAAACTAGGGAGGAAATTTTATTATCCATATTTTAATCTTGTTGATTACAGCGTCCAATGTCCGATTCGCTGATTCTGCTGATTGCCATAATTTGTATTAACTTCTTTATTTTTTTCAGTTCTAGTTTTTGACATGATTGTACTACATGTACATGCAAGTACACCATACTAGTGCATTTGAAATTACAATTGTGGTTGGTCGCTTATTTATTACTGCTTTGGATTTCTTTTCTACTTTGCTTTGCTTTACACCTTTTCAATTTTCGTGTTCTTTCCAATAAATGATTTCGAGTTCTCCAAAAAAATACTTCAAGTATTATTTTCTTGAATGCTTTTGAGCACAATGAATTGTAAAAACATTTCCAATGAATAGTTTGCTGACTCGATCACGGTGTCAGCGTACGTGTCAGACTCGCCATTTTAGAAAGTGTCTCTTGAACACCTACTGTATGCCGTGGAGAGTACAATTGCCAATGTTTCATCACCCGTCTCGTTTGTGCTGCATTTGACTTATTATGCACTTGTCCTGTCTTTCTAAAAAACATGAGTGTGATGCGCATGCTCTTGGTTTACTTTTTTGTCTTTTTTCGTGCTTTGAAGATACTTGCTGTTTTTGGAGAGTTGCGTCCTCTCTACAGATTTGGTTTTGCAAAAAAAGAATAATAGTAATGTGACATCACCCGTCTCATTTATGCTGCGTTTGACGTGTTCTTCAACTTACTTCTTGCGTTGTGGACAATGGTGTCCAATTGTGGGGTCAAACAAGTACTACTACTTGTACTCGTAAACACTCGTATGACTATAAGCCCTTTACGTGTTTCGGGATGACGTGGCATGGATTGAGCGTGGCCTTGACAGTGAATGGGAGTACACGACATGCATGATCTGCACACAGTTGAGGATTGACTTGCAAACGTCGCAAGAGAAGGGGAAACACATGCATTTTATTGTCAACCTTTTCAACGCATATTCAAAACAAAATTGAATTATTTTGGTAGAATGACATGGTCGGTGACAGTGAATGGTAAATCGTTCATGTTAGTACTCTAGTTATGGTGAGGGCCCGTCACCCTCAGCCGACCTGGGTGCTAGGAATCATGATCTGAGTTGCCAACAAAAAAACACTCATAATAAAATTTAAAAAAAGAGAAAAAGGCAATAAAAAACGTCATTATGCAGCTCTGTACATGCAATCAGCAGATGCACTATGTGACTTCCAGGCAACTTTGTCCAGGCATCGTGCGGACAAGATACATGTACATGTAACGACACAAAGTCTCTCACCAGGGCACAGCTTCATCTCCAAGATAGTAATCAGGAATGGCCGCTGTATTGCTTACTCCTCCAATGAACGGTGCTTCCGAAACGGGACACTTGCCGATTCCCTCCTTGACGCTGGCTGTCGACACGATTCTTCCATTGTTGGCAGACTCAGCCGTCGTTCCAAGTCTGCCCGACACCAACGTGCAGCAGAGTCCAAGGACAAGTAAACTAGCACCAAGCGAACACTCACAGAGATTTATGTAGTAATAGTGGTTGAAATAGGCAATTGCGAAGCACTTGATGATGGCGTAAATCAGGATGCCAGCACCGCTTGCTGATATAGTGGCTCCGATACCGAGAAGTCGCGACTGCTGTTGCCTGGCACGTTCCGACATGGTTGATTCTGTACTTGAGAAGGCATTGGGGAAATGAAAAGCAACGACATAGCGAACAAGATATTAGCGCAAACACGAAGTCAGTGCAGAACAACAGCAGACGTTGAAGGTTGCCCGCAATTGTATAGGAACAAGCAGAAACAATTATTTCGTTCAACCCACCTCGTTCAAGTCTCCAAAGATATTCCCCGCTGCAATGGGGGCAGTGTTTTCCTGCGGGAAACGTTCCTTTACCTTTCCTTATTATTCTTCGTGTTCAGGTAAGCAGCCAGAGTCCTCCAAATAAAACATTCTGTGATTGTCCACGACAGAGCCAAGTGTTTATACGCTACCACGCATGATTATGCTTTAAGTTCTAGCCCCAATCAAAAACATTAGGATTACAAGACAACCTGCGGCTAGAAACACTTAAAACTTACTTGTGCGCCGAGCACGGCAAGAGGAGCCAAAAAAGACATGTGGTGAGGATGAAGAACGACCCACGCGTATACGCTCCACCGCCTTTGTAGGTCGGCCAAGCCAACTTTACTTTTAGTCAATACGGTCGAGTGGAGCGAAGTAGATATGCGAGAAAAGATATTTCGGAAACATGTTTTCCTGTTGCCAATATGGCATCTGATGTAGTTTTCCTGGTAGTTGTTCTTTTTACTTTATTTCTTCAGTCAGTATTTGAGTCTCACACAGTGTCCCTGACATCCTAACCTATAACCTTCATCCGTATTCTTCTTTTCCCATTCTATCATTAATGTGCATTGGAAATTGTGCGTTGTTTTTATGCTGCCATGTTGCCGCTTGTGGGGTTTTTCCCCGGGTGGCTTGGTCCAAATACAAATCAGGTTTTATGAATCTGACGGTACCAAGTGGTGTTTATCGTGGCTGCATTCTGTTAGCTGAGCGTTTGTATTCTTTACTCCAGGGACTCTGTCTCCTTGTTGTTGCTCGTGGTTTCCTTCTGCAATCCGACTCACATCTGGCTGTGGCCTACTTTGTGCTATCTGGTAGCCCTTCACTTAATAGTCCTTGTGTGCT